CTCATCATCAATGTTCATCTCAAGTACACAACGCGATATAGAAATAACAAGATTAGCTTAGAACACTCTTAGCTTACTTGGATCTCAAGAGGATGACCATGAATCCCCATCCGTCTATCAATCATGCAGGAACCGTCAGTAACCAAAAGAGAAGGAAACATATCGAAACCATCAGTTAGGCAGAGTTTGAGAATCAGCCTTATTCCTGTCTGGACGTCCACTCTCTCTTGCAAAGCATAGTCACCAGTGAGCTTCCCATAGGCTCTCAACAAGATAATCCACCATAATCCTGTCAGCAAGATATTCAAGATAGGGCTTTAATATTTGAGGCGTGATATTGGATTATAAATTTGTAATATAAACAGGAGATAGGCAAGGAGGTCTTACAAACGTAAAATCAATGAAACAATTTTCATGCTTTACCACAATATTAATAATATTGTACTTGTCAATAAGAATATCAAAGCCCAATGATTGTGCAGCAACATTCCATGCAGCAAAACCATAATGTCTGAGCTTCCACGGTGAAATTCAACATACCAGAATCAACAGGTGCAACGCGGCCAATAGCTGATTCACACCAAATCAGGATCCAGAACTTCCTCGAATGCTTCATTGCTTCCATCAAGGGGCACAGTCCAACTTTGAAACTTGCTGGCATTAAACCTTGCCCTGGGCTGTAGCAGTCGACAGTCCTCTCCCAACTCTGGCAAATGTAAACAATTGTTTTTTAATTCAATTGTTAAATAAGGCGAGGTCATCAAGAGCCAATTACTGAAGTTCCATAAAAGAATAATCGACCACCATTATTGACACAACCTCTAACAACACTCCCTCTGCGCCATTCTTCCATCACTTATTAACTAATTGCACTTTAAACAATGTCATTAACTAAATGCAATTTAAACAGTCAAGACAATGAGATTTTACTCATGAGAATTCAAAATGAGAAAATAAGGAATGTTAATAAGACATCGAAAGGCCCCCTTTTGGCTCATCCTTTATGCAGAAGCTGAAATAAGCCCCTAACATTCATTAAGCAACAGACTGCCTAAAAATTTGTCAACTTGCAGGAAAGCTAAACTGCACAATCTTAACAGTTGGAAAACTATATACGCAGCAATTCTTACCGGATGAGGCTTGCTTACTAAAAGCATAATGCTTAGAGATACTTTTGCATTCAACAGAAGAAAAACACCATATAAAAGTACAAACCGATGAAGCTATTATGAAAACAAAATACCTGCAACTGTAATGTGTGAAGTAGAAAATTCCTGACAATCTCCCCTTCGCCATTGAGGAGAAAGGCAAGTGCTGATGGAACAAAATCACGGATAAAGACTTGATCATAATTTAGTGGCTGTTTGTCAGCAGGGTCATTAGCTGCAACGGTCCCAATTGGATTCCCACAGTATGTAACAACCGCACCTCGAAGCAGCTTCCAAGCATCCTTTTCAATCTCAGTCACCTCCCTTTCAACCTTATTCAAACCCTTCAGATTATCTATATTTACATGCGAACCATTAATTGTTTCTGCAGAGACTTGTTCCAATTTGTTTTGATCAGTCTCAATTCTTTCAATCACAAAGGGCTTCACATTTAATCCACCTTGAATGTGAACTTTCTCAAAGTTTTTCTCATTAACACGAGAATCAACTGATGTAGAATGATTTCTAACATAGGAATATAAGCTCAGTATCGATGAAATTCTCCTGCTAACCCCTATATGGACACCGCCGGGAGCACTAAAAAGTCTAGATTGATTCCTATCTGAACGAGAAATGTTAAAATTTCTCCAATTCGTATTGATCACTCGGGTATACCACGCAATTTCAGCATTCCTAGTATGGTATCTACGGTGATGTATTGAATTGGGATGTAACTTGGACAAGATGTCCTTGACTGAATTATCGAGCTCGTTCGGAGAAAATGCAAAATTGATGAGCTTTTATATCTTCTTAGGATTCTATTACAAGGCTTCATTGTAGAGATTCCAACTCAGCTCCCAATATCAATATGTATGATCAACTAACTAAAGCAAAGAAGGAGAAATGGTTCTGGAGAACTGAGAATTAAGACTTCATCTATCAACTAGAGAAGAAATCGGTATCCGGCAATTATATGATCAAAAAAGGGGAAATGAGAGTGGAAAGGGAAATCCAGAAGGATTTAGCTTGACTTACAATTCGGATGAAAGGAAGTGAAGGACTCTGAGGATAGCAGAAATGAGAAGGGAAGCTCAAGCTGCACACAAAAGAGAAGATTTGCACTTGGCAGTTTCTTGTTGGCGGAAGACAGAGAAGCATCCTGAACCAACCAGAATGTGGTGACGAGCCAGTTGGTCATGATCATGAAGAATATTTTCTTCCAATTTTTACATTTTAGTTCCGCCTTATTATTGTCATTGTCATTATTAATTCATTAACTGAAATAAAATTTATTTTGTATTCATGTTTTTCTTATTACTAGATATTTTCCAGTTCCCACGCGATACAATATAATAATTTCAAAATTTTAAATATTATAAAAATATTTCAGAATTAAAAAATTATTGTGCGTACCTCATGAAATGAGTAAAAAAAAAAAGCTTAAAAAATTAACTAAAAAAAGTTGTGTTAAATCTTAGAATATGTACAGCATTCAGGCCATTTTTTTTTTTTGGGTTTGCAATTAATTCACTGCATGCAAACTGGGGAAAAAAAAAATCTTTGTATTGATTACGTTACATTATTTGCCTATCAATGCACTTTTTCCGTGAAATGGGACCTTCTGTATTTATTTGTATAAATCATTATATAAATAAAAATTAGAAAGAAAAATGCCGTCATTTTAGTATTTATTAATACGATTGTTGCTTTGTTTCATTTTGCCAATAGATTTCCACTTTTTACTTTGTGTTGTTCTGTTTTAAAAAATAATTTTTCGTGTAATCTTTGCTCAAATTCATGCAATTTCCACGTGGTTAATTTTCATGCAATTTTTCTGTATTTTCACTACAATACTTATTTAATTTTAGGGCAATTCTTGTGAATCTTTTGTGTAAGTTCATGAAGTTGATATGAGTTTTTTTGGGGTCAAAATTTGATATTAGTTTAAATACGTTTGTTAATTTTGAATAGAGAAGTAGAAACATTATTACTAAGTTGATTTAACTTAAATTATTCTTAGAAGTATAAATAATAAATTGTCACAGTCTTTAAAATAAAATGCGAAAAAAATATAAAAAGAATATCTCACCCACCAGTAACCAAAATTCCTAAATCTATTCTCCTGCTCTGCCCCTCTCAACCCATTTTATCAATTATAATGCCTTTAACTCCTCTGTTTTGTTAAAAGCAACTATTCTATACATGAAAGCAACAAGTTGAATTGTAATTACAAACTCATGCCTCCATCTGTCCTTTTAAAAACGAATTGTTCAACATCAATAACTAATCTCAAAAGCTCAAATCAGTACAATACATGGCAAATGCTCAGCTAATTTGCATAAAAATCAAATATAAATTTATCTATCATCATAAACTTGTAACAACACATCGCACTATGGGTTCAGTAGTCAAAGAGTTGGACACTCTTACCAAACAGAAAAGGTTCAATTTTGGAGATTGTCGTGGCACTTAGGGAGGCATACTCGCAGCTAAGTGAAGCGGGAATACTACTAAGGTTAGGATTAACAGGATGTATGCACATCCCTGTTTGGGCTAGTTCCTATAGATCATGAGTTAGTTCTCCCTATCCTTGGCTTGTGGGTGAGTCCAATCTCTTGCCGAAAACTTTTGTACCACGGAAAAAAAAAATTTGTAACATTTTTTTTTTTGGGAAACAACTAATAGTAAGAAGCCACTGCATAATATGTCTGCACTATGGTGAGTATAAGAAGCACAATTGCTGCAATTACAGAGATAATGGCCCATGGATTTGTAAAGTAGTCCTGTTTTAAAGTTGCCTTCCATTTATGCCAGGGCACTCTATAGTAATCATTGAGCTCCTTACACAGATCTGAGAAGTAGAAATTGAATCTGATCAGAGTCATTCCGGAGATAGCTTATTGATAGCAGAAGACACCTCTTCATTACCTGCTAACTTTGACTCAATAATCCCATTCTGAGCAAGCAATTCCACATCCTCAGGCGTGTCGATAAGGCGATGCAGGATGAAGACATAGTCATTCACATAGTTATCTTTCAAGTGGTAATGTTCATATGCAATGAGATTCCTCAGAAAGTTCTCCATAGCATCATTTATTCTCAAGCGTGGAATCTCCAAGGTTCCATCTTTGAACTGTATGTCAAAAAGATTCCTACTTTGCTTCACCTTGAACTTCACTCCTGCTTGGTGCAACTGTGTCGCAGTAGGTAAAGTTAGAGACTTTAGTTTACTTTTGTGTGGCATTTCTTGTGGCAAGTGACAAATTCTGGCGAAGTCAACAAAGTGTTGTATTTCGGATTGGCCTACTTTTTCCATGGCATTGAAGGCATCAACATCCTTCAGATACATTCTCGTTTTGAAGAACTCGTACGTTAGCTTGATTGCTGAATGCCTGTGATCATTCCTGATGGAATGGATGATCCAGTGAGTGAAAGAAGGTCCTCAATGATGAAGAAAGGAACTTGATTTTCAAGTAAAAGCATGTCATTCTTAATGAACTTTAGCTTCCATGGTCTACCAAAAAAATGATCATGTCGATTATTCTGAACCTTGTAATCATCAGAACTAATACTATTTCTCAAGAACACTTCAACAATGAAAGCTGCATCGATTAGAATGATCTCAATGAACTTATCACTATCAAACTCAATGGGATCTGCATAACAATTTCGCAACTTCACTTCTTTTCTCCTCAACAGTTCAACACAGTCATCTAAGCTTACTTGAATCCGTGAGAGAAAGTCATTCAAGAATCTCATTTTATGTTGTTCCATATCTTTGAGCTTTTCGTTGTGTGTGATGGAGAGGACCAATAGAAATAACTTGAGGAGTGAAGGATTTTTCATTGCCTTCACGTAGTTCTGCAGGAACTCGATATATGCAGCATTCAGGTGACAGAGGAGGCAGCTTCTCCAATTTGTCTTCCAAACGTTTTGCAAGTGAATTTGATAACACTTTTTCATCGATACTGATATGGTTGAATCCTTCTTTTCTATCATTTACCTCCTCCATATTGTCTTATGTTTGAATTTTGAAACACAGATTGCAAGTCGTGTGATTGATCTCACTATGCACTACATCTATTTAGGCTCACGTATGAATTAGATCATGAATTGATATTTCTTCACAGGTGTGAGAGTCAAAGGTAAATATATGCATGTGTTTGCAAGGATTAATAGAAATATGACACATCAGAAGCAAAATCGAAGGACAGGAATCATATATATGGTCTAAAACAGAGGAAAAGTTAAGAAAAGGTGAAGAGTTTACCTTTTGAGCGAACCAGAAATGATGAAATGGTCTTCCATTTTCTTCTGATGGAGCTGGCTTCCCCAATATAATTTGGTAATGGCCGAAGAAGACAGAGGTCTTCCTTGAATCTTTCATTATAAACCTTTTCTTTTCTCCTAGGCAGACGCCAACGATGTAATTTGCAAGTTGCCAATAGGCCACCAAGAAGTCAATGGTGGCTGCTACCTAGCCCCTCCGTTTTTTTTTTTTGACCTACTTTTCGTTCAGCTTTGGAAAGTTCGCACCAGAAGTTCGACCAGGAATACACACATGTAATACTCCTCTGATCCTATTTATAGTATAGAAAGAGAAGACATTTTTATAAATGTATAATTTTACCCCACATTTATTATTGTGTTGACTATATTTACATAAAGTATAATGTACATTAAATAGAGATAAAATTAAAAAGTTGTTGAATTTTAAATAAAGTTAATGAATGAAGTTTAAGTTTTCGTTGGTTTTTATGAAGCATGTTAAAAATTACTTATAAATAGGACTAGAGGAGTCTATCTAGTCCTTAATATAAGAACTAGTTGACTAATTTGAGTAGACTAAGATAATTAAGTTATTATTTGTAATAAATAGATGTTATCTTTCCTAAAACACTCTTACTAATTAAGTGCATTAGTTATAATTATCATTTGATGAAACCTTTAATATGTGCAACCACTACAACGATAATTTTAAAAAAGATAAATATGAGAGTCAAAGTGGATTAAAATATTATATTTAGGGTTAAAATAAAAGTCAAACTAATTCTTATATTAAGAATTTGAAATAGTACCTTCGTTCATTAATATAAGACCCATTACAAAGAGATCATGTATTTTTTTTTTGGTGATACAAGGAGCGGGCTCGAACCCGCACGCAACACACCCAAACACACACACAAACACCACTCGGCCAAGAGGCCAGTGGTAGAGATCATGTATTTATTGACATGGGAATATATATATAATATCTCATGTCTTTTTATGAGACTCATTTGACTAATTTGAAAAAATTAAAAAAGTTAAATAAATTAATTTAAAATATTATATTTATCATTTGTTTTTCAAACTAATTTGTTTGATTTATAATTGATATATAATCTAATAATATAATAATTATTTCAAAGAGATCATGTTTAAATTAGTCATTTAATCTTATATTAAAAACTAGAGATAGTGCATATATTTGGGGCAAACGGAAGTCCATTAATGTTTTTCCTCTCTCCCGGAAAATATGAGGGTGAACAAGTCCAAATTACAAAGAGAGGGCGTGAAGGTGAAGCCCAACAGAATCATTATTGACAAGAAAAGGAGGGCATCAGATGTGGCCCCAAGAAGGGGGGAGCGAGGTTAAAATTTATGATTGCATACAAATGACAAAAATACTCGCAAGCAATAATTTTTTTTAGAAAAATTAATTATTAATATAAATAAATTAATTTACTAATAATTTCCTTAAGGAACTTGTAATAAATAAAAATGTTCATTAATCTTTCTCTATTATTTGCAAGCCAAAATTAATAAATTTATAATTTATCTAATATATTTTTCAGAACAAAAATTTTAAGAGATCCATTATTAATAATAACTTAATTTCAATCAATGGGGGTTGGATGTAATAGAAGGGGTTAGTTCCTCAAAATAAACTAATGTTTGAATTTCTGCTAGAAGAAGTGTCCATATTTAGTTTATTATAGTACCTCGAACATGAATATTTGTGCCTAACCAAAAAAAAAAGAGAGAAAAATGACTACAAAATTATGTTGTCATTTACTTTTCAAATATTATCAATTTTAGTAAACAAACTTGATTTAGAATTTAAAATTCAAAGACTTTTTTTGGGATTCTTCAAAAAAAAAAAAAAGGTATGCCCTTCTTTTTATTTACCAACTTTTTAAGGCCGTTCTAGGTGCCATACCTACCCCTATGTTTGCTTTTCCTACAAAAGCCTAATAATTTAAAAGATTATTTTGTTTTACATCTGGTACCTTATTATAATAAAACTAAGATATATTTTGACTCGCTCAATCTGAACATGAGCCATTCATACTATAAGTTTGAGCATTTTATATGCTCACCTAATCTAAATTGGTAATTAAAACTCACACATCATATCAAATTATTAAGAAGTATTATATATAATTGTACTATATTTTAACAACTTTGTTCTCTTCAACAACCCTAGATATGACTCCGATTGAAAGTATTTTTGCTCAGAAGAGAGAATATTTTTTTTTTCCCTCATTAGTGGAATGCGATGAGTTTGCACTAGCTTCTTGTTGTATCCGATCATAACAAAAGATCCAATAGAGATCTCGTATGTCTTCACAAAACACCAACTTCCTAATATAATTTTTAATCTTTTAAATTTGTTTTTATTTTAATTTTGATCTCTCAAGTCTCAAACTATAGGTTTTAATTCTTCAAGTTTCTTTTTATTTAAAAATTAGTCTTTATAATTCAATAAAGACAAAAACTATTTTGGCCCCCAAAAAGACTAAAATTTATGTGGTTTGAAATTTGAGGTATCAAAATCAAAATGACAGCAAATTTAAAATACTAAGAATTACATTAAGGGTTTGGGCAACCGTTATATCCAGTTTGTCCTGTTCCCCAATCAACACCTGACATGTGGATTAGATTTACCCCACGCCTTGGAACTCATTAATTCCCTTTGACGCCGTCAATGGACGTTTATGTGAAAAGGGCTTGCTAGTTGATAATATTTTGCCCTTCTCGGCTTCTCCATTCATCTTTATTTATACTACCTCCGATTCTTAATATAAGATCTTGTATGATTTTTATTTTAATTTTAAATATAAGACCTCAATCCATTTTGTCTCTCATATTTATGTATTTTTTCTCAAAGTAATCCTTCTAACAATAGTAGTTCTAGCCAATACACTTGATTAGTAAGTATATTTTAGGAAAAATAATACATATTTGTTACAAATAATTGATTTAATTTTTTCCTTTAATCTCCTCAAATTAGTCAACTAGTTCTTATAATTAGGATCGGAAGTAGTAGATAATTTCTTCTCCTTCACATTGTCAATAGTCGATTTCTCCAAAAAGCAAAGAAATTTTCAACAAAGCAAAACCATTGAACCACAGTAAAAAACCAATGCTAGCATTTTGGGGCATCTAGAAAAGTTATGACGGATTAAAAAATCAATCCACGAACAAACAATTCTGAATTACTATTGAAAACTTTAGCCTTTAGATCAACTTTGTCTATCCACACGAATGTCTATACACATACTTTTCTATAACAACCAACTATAGTAGGATAACCACAGTAATCCGACCATAGATCTGTCGATGAAGATTAAAATACCAGGTCTCTCTCTTATATATATACATAGAGAGACAGGAACACACACAGACATAAACATATTTGTGATAGATGATAATCTGCTACGCAGAGAAACCTATTTAATTACACACATATATATACTACCTAAGATAGTAGGACATGACACTATAATAAGTCTGCACGAAGGTGAGTAGAAGAAGTGACATTGCTGCAATCACAGAGATGATGGCCCAGGGATTACTAAAATAGTCCTCTTTCAGAGTTAGCCTCCATCTATGCCAAGGCACTCTATAATAATCACTCACCTTCTCACACAGATCTGAGAAGTAGAACCTTCTTCTCGCCATGGTCATTCCTGGCGAAAGCTCGTTCATCAGAGAAGCCACTTCTTGAGTTCCCGATAATTTTGACTCTATAATCCCACGATGCATCAGTAACTCCACGTCACCTGGTGTCTCTATCAGACGATCCAAGATAAAGAGATAGTCATTCATATAATTATCGTGCAAGTGACAACGTTCGTATGCAATGAGATTCCTCAGAAGAATCTCCGTCGCATCTTTTATTCTCAACCGTGAGATTTCCAACACCCCATCTTTGAATCTGATGTCAAAAGGACTCCCACTCTTCTTCACCTTGAACTTCACTCCAGCTTCGCGTAACTTTGTTGCCCTTGGCATAGTCACGCACTTTAGTTTGTTTTTGCTTGGAAGAACTGGAGGCACAAAACAAATTCTGGCAAAATCAACAAAATGTTGTATTTCCAGTTCACCCACTTTTTCCTCAATGTTGAAGTTATCCATATCTAGCAGATTCAACTTCCTTTTGAAGAACTCGTAGGTTAGCATGATTGCTGAACGCCGAACATCGTTCTTTATGGGAAGAATGTCTGATTTTGTTAATAAAAGAAGGTCCTCGATGATGGAGAAAGGAACTTGATTTTCAAGTAGAAGCATGTCAGTTTTAATGAACCGTAGCTTCCATGGGCCGCCAAAGAAATGATCATACTGATTCTGCATCTGGTTATTATCTGAGACATTTCTGAAGAATAGTTCAAGAATGAAAGCAGAATCCACCAGAATGATCTCAATAAACTTGTCACTGTCAAATTCAATGGGGTCTGCATAACAGTTTCGCAGGTACAATTCTTTCTTCTTCAAAAGTTGGACACAGTCATGTAGACTTACCTTTGCTCGTGACAGAAAGTCCTTTAGTAACCTCAGTTTGTGTTCTTCCATGTGTTTGAGGTTGAGATTATTGTGATGAAGTGGACCAATTGAAATTTCCCGAGGAGTGAAGGCTTTCTCATTTCGTTCTCGTAGATGAATAGGAACTTTACAAATGCTACATTTACTGGACAAGGGAGGAAGCTTCTGCAATTTGTCTCCCAGGCTCTTTAGAAGTGAATCTGATAGCATTTTTACATCGACTGTGATGTGATCGAATCCTTCGGTTAAGTCAACTGCTTGCCCCATTATCTGTGTGTGTGTATATATTCAAATTCTGATAAATAAGGAGATCAACAAGATGAATATTTCACCACTGCAAAGAAAGAAAGGTGGAAATTAAAAAATAAGGCATTTGATTAAATGATACCTGTCTTTGGTTGTATGGATTGGAATTGTAGTTTGAAAATCATATGCTGATCACAGAGAACATTTGACAGAAAGCTTCAATCGACTGCTTGGATGGGTCATTAACAAAAGGAATCAAATTAATTAAGACTAAACTTTTTGTGAAAATAGAAGGACTTGACAGAAATTGAAACTTGCTATGCAAGAGAGAAAAATCCAGATGTTGGCCCTGAGTAGAGAGAACTTCAGTTCAAGTACTGCGTGTGTGTGGATTCTGCTATATATATGCAAAATGGAAAGTCAACGGCATATATATGAGGAACAAAAGAGGAACGATTCATCCATTAAGAAAAAAGGCAAATTAAAGAGAAAGTAACCGGAGGACGAAAATAAACTTACATTTTGATGAGTAATGGAAGAATCTGAGAAATGGCGAACTGGTGGCCTTTCGTCTTCCTCGGAAGTTTGGTTTGGTGATGACTGAGGTCCGAGGAACTTGTAATATACTCTTCCGGTCCTTAATATAGGATCCAAAAATTTTTGAGTTGGTTTTAGTCCTAAATATAAGACCCATATTTTATATTTATCAATTTTCTTTAAATTACCCCGGCCTATAGATATTTTCTCAATCATAATTAAGAAGAAGAGGAAGATGAGTATTAAGAAAGATGATTATGGTGTTTTAGGAAAAATATGTCACTTTTCTTATAATTAACTAATTTACCTAACTTTCTTAATCTAATCAAATTAGTTAAATGGATCTTATATTAAAGACCAGAGGAGTATATGTCTTCTTAGTAAAGCAGTGCACAAGTCAAGTCGATTTTTCAAGTCTTCCTTTAATAATACTATATTTTCGCAGAATTTAACAATGTTTTGTTATTTAATTTGTCAGTTGCATAGACACAGAAGCAACCCCGCCCCAAGCTTGGTCAATTTTGGCAGTTAACCAGCAAAGTCGTCTTCTTTAATCAAAATCATATCATATCACTAACACGGAACACCAAAGAATTGGGGGTTTAATTCATTTCATATGAAAAGCCCCCGAGGATTTCTGGGCGTCTTCTTAACGTCGTCGTCATCATCGGTTACCGTATCAGTTTCGCGTACATGGATGGATGGATATGCTTTGTAATTAGTGGGTGTAATTGAAGCTTATTGTTGATTCAATGATACAGCAATATTAAAAGGACGAGGCTTTTTCATCCCCTACTTCCTTCGTCAATTTTTGAGACAGTGCTACACCAATATTAGACGCATACTGGTACGACGTAGAAAAAAGCAGAAAAAGACAGGAAACGACAGGAAGATGCTCAGAAAGACGATAATTTGCAGAAAAATCCAAATTCATGAAGCAAAGAACATAAACAAGAACTCTCTATTTCTGATTCAGTGCTAGGACGATAGACTATCTATGGCTTTTTAGAAGCCCATGAAGCCAGCCTACGTATATTCCCAGTCAGCATCAATAATAGTATGTATAATCCACAGAAAGATTATTTTAAAAAAATTTAATTAAATTAGTTATTTACACAGTCTGACTCAATTCATTAATTGAGAAAGCAATAATATCCAGTGAAGTACAAAGTAGTTAAATATTGCAGAGCACCTAAAGCTTGACTAAACACACAGTGGGGTTTTTAAGTAATCGCCATCATCATATAATTAACACTTAATTATATGGCCCAAAAAAATTTGGGTTTAATTGATTTCATTTTGGAGTACGTGAAAAGTGCGTGAAAATTGCTGGGAGTATTCAAAACGTCGTCATCAAAATTACGTATCAGTTCCGCGTGCAGGGATATGCTTTATATTGGGTCTAATCAAAGGTTGTTGCTTCTTTATCTTGTTTTTGGGGGGGGGGGGGAGTCATGTGCGTGTGGGGGCATCTTTCGTTTTTCAATACAGCATTATGAGAATCGTCAACGTGGGTTGGAAGCAGAATCCATGATAAAGCTTCAAGCTAAGTAGTACTTCAAGTGATTAATATAAAATCTAATTAGTTAATTTAGAAGAATTAAGAAAGTTATTAAATTACTTTAAACTAGTTATATTTATTTTTTTGTCCAAACTAATTTTTCTCATCTATAAGTTGATATGTAATTTAATGATACACATAAATATTTTACAGAGATTATGTAAAACATACTATAATTAAATGATTTGGTAATTTTAAAGACAGAAAGAAGTGGACTCATTGTTAACTATTCACATCAGCCAACAACTATTTTTTTTCCTTAAAAAAAATTGGCGGGCCATGATAAGCACCATATTGATTTTAGTGATCCGATGTTATTGGCAGGATATGTCGTGGATTCTTTAAGATCTTTTAATGGCAATATTATTGTTAACTTCGCTCGTGACAGTATATAGTTATACGTAAGTTTTGAATCAGATCCAACCATTTCTTTTTCCTTTTTACTGGGTCTTTTAACTTTCTACCGACTAAGTTTGTTAGTTCTTGAGATTTAAAACTATTGAATAAGGATTAATGATGTTAGGAAGAACACACAACCTTTCAATCCAATAACCTGGGATTAACAGATTAATTTGCAGCAATATGTTTTTACGGCCATTTCTTCCACAGGATCAGTTTGTTTTGGCTTTCTAACAAAATTTTCTCAATACTATTAGTCTTTGGTTGATAGTTTTAAATATCACGAAATAACGAATTTAACGGCAGAAAATTAAAAAGGACTAACAAAGAGAAGAAAAAAAAAATAGAGATGCTTCAAAACTGAAAGAAATTATAAGTAATTTCAGATTAATTTTTACTATATAACAAATTATTAAAGCACCATTTGGGGAGCGGAAAAAAAGAAGCATATCGCCGCTCTAAGACGTTTCTACATTTCAATGGCAGGGATAATGACGCAAGGATTACTTGTGTTAAGAGGGATCTTTTTTGCCTGAAATATAATTATGACAGTAATAATAATGAACAAGATGACGATAACAATAATATAAATACCTACGTCATCTCTTAGTTCCTAGACTTCCCGTACATGCTCTCTCTCCTTCTCTCTTCATGCGTCCTCGTTCTCCAGTGTGCGTGTTTTCCCCTCCCTCTCTTCTCCATCTTACTGCTTCTTCTTGTACTGATGGATTTTTATTTTTTATTTAGATTTTCATTTTTGTCTTGAAATTATGATATGTTTTGTTAAATTAAATCTTTGATACTTAGTGTACTAGGGTTAAAATCTGATACTATCAGATTTTTGTGGTCTCACTAGATTTGCTTGTTCTTGGTTTTGTTTTTATGTATCAGAATTTATATATCTGTTTCTTGCTTGCTTATTATAAAATTTTTCAGCGATTAATTTTTCGGTTTTTTTTTTCCTTTCAACCTGATAATTTTTTTTTCGATTTTCTTTTTCCTTGTAGATGGTTAGTCCTCTTGAACCGTACCTACCCTATATATTTTCTTTTTCTTGAAAAAAAATAGATAAATATGAGAGAAAAAAATATATTAGAGTATTATATTTAGGACCAAAATAAAAGTCAAACTAACTTTTATATTAAGGATTGGAGGTAGTACCTTCATTCCCTAATAAAAGACCCATTTCAGAGAGGTCATGTATTTATCAACATGGTAAAAAATATATATATATATAATATCTCTTGTCCTTACTATAAGACTCATTTTTAAGAAAATTAAGAAAGTTAAATAAATTAATTTAAAATATTATGTTTACCATTTTTTTTTCAAGCTAATTTGTTTGATTTATAAATTGATATATAATGTAATGATACATATATGATTATTTCAGAGAGACCATATAACATATGTTATAATTAAGTAATTTTTTTATTTTTCTAATTTTTTAAATTAGTTAACTTAATCTTATATTAAAAACAAGAGATAGTATATATATTTGGGCCAAACCGAAGTCCATTAATGTTTTTCACCTCTCCCGGAAAATATGGGGGGGAACAAGTCCAAATTTCAAAGAGTGGGCCTGAAGCCCAACAGAATCATTGATAACAAGAAAAGAAGGGCATCAGGTGTGGCCCCAAGAACTGGTGAGCAAGGTTAAAACTTAAGATTGCCTCCAAATGAAAAAAATACTCACAAGCAATAAATTTTTTTAAGAAAAATTAATTATTAATATAAATAAATTAATTTACTAATAATTTCCTTTAGGAACTTGCAATAAATAAAAATGTTCACAAATCTTTCTCTATTATTTGCAAGCCAAAATTAATAAATTTATAATTTATCTAATATGTTTTTCTGAAAAAATGTTAAGAGATCTATTATTAATAATAACTTTTAGTTTTAATCAATAAGAATTGGATGTAGTGAAAGGGATTAATCCCTCGTAAGAAATCCATATTTAAATCCTTGTTAGAATAAATGTCCACATTTATTACCCAATAATACCTCGAACATGAATATTTATACTTTACTACAAAATCTTATTGTCATTTACTTTTTAAATGTTGTCAATTGTTATTAAAATATAGTAAACAAAATTTATTTATAATTTTTAAATTCAAAAGTATTTTTTAGAGATTCTCCCAACAAAAAAAAGTATAGTAATCCCTTCTTTATGTTTGCCAGCTTTTTGGGTCCAGATCCTCTCAGCGTCTTTTTTCTCAACGTCTCTCAGTATCTTAAACTCTATCCGTTCAGGTGATCCAAGCGCACACAGTGCACCAGCTGTTAAAAATGAATCAACGCCTATAACTTCCTCTTTCGCCAATATTCCTCAACCTTCTGCTCTCCTATTTCGGTTGTTCCTCCTCAGTCTCTCGCTCTCGCCTCTATTACCCATCGCTTAGCATCCCTCCTCCTCGTTTCAGTCATTAGGAATTTACGCAACGATTAGACAAGGGGAGAGACGGGGGGACGAATCTGTGTGGGTGGGTATAAGGATTTTGAGAAGTAAAATAAGTTGTCTCCATCCTCTGTGAAAACTGCATGATTGGCCCTTCCACAACTGCTTTCCAATACTACTACGCATATAACAAAAGGGTGGATGGTGCGTTACCAATTTTATGTATTTATTTATTCTTAGTAAAATACTTCAGATTTGGAAAACATAAATTGATAGTCATTCGACCTTTCAAAAGTATTTCTAACTCACATCCCTTTAT